TCAGGCATGACAGCTGGGGCCCCGTAAGCATTACATCATGGCCTGATGTATCAGTGTATCGCATGTCACTGGTGCTCTGACAACGAGCGCTATCAACGCTAACCCCCTCCTACTCCACACACGCATTCACACAAAAATGTATCTTGCATGCACACACCATCCTCTGTTAGATCCCAAAAGCATTGTATAAATAGATTCAATATATTGTGGCAACACTCTGTAATCTGCACATATAGGCTTGTGGAGTTGCAGCCAAACTGCATGAATGATCACCTGCTACATGATCCTGCGGTGTATTGTGCTGTATTGTGAGACAGCTTCTCCCTACTGCACCTTTATGAGCATCGTATTTACCCATTGAGATGTTTACTCCTGATGCATGCAGTAAACATTCACAAAGTAGTGAATGATGCAGTCAAACCAGAACTAACCAGCATAAACCAGCCTGGACCTGGACGTTCATTCCGGTCCAAACTGGACTTTTCAGCAGGAATGCTTTATGAGTTTATATCATATATATAATGGTTTTCGCAGGTCCTTAAAAAGTCTTACATTTAGTTGTATCAAATTTAAGGCCATAAAAAGAGAAAGTCTTAATTATGATTTCAAGAGGTCTTAAATTTGGGGACGGAAAGACCAGAATTGCGATATGGTTAAATGTGACTTCAAAAGGCTATGATTCTTAGTCTTAAATTTGAGCTTAAAAATCCTGCAGATGCCCTGTATATGCTTATGCATTTATCAGGAATAGAATCCATGACCTTAGTTTTGCTAGTGCGATGCTATATGATTTGCACTACAGGGGCATTTTAGGCCATTTACACCTGATATTAAGATGTGTTTCTGTCAATCCAATCACACGCTAAATACGGATGTAAACGGGGTCTGAAACATTTTGAACTTGTCCACTTTCGACCCCTTCTAAAGGTAGTTGAAAACGCATTTGACTGCATTGCTTTCATAGTGTAAACGTTCATGTGGTCGGAAGCATTCAAATGGCCACAAGAGAGCACCTACTCTGCCTACTGACCCAATTCTCATCACGGGACGTGCTTTTGAAGCACACTAGCCAGACAGGATTTAAACTTTGCTGTCTGAAATAAAAAATAAACAAATGCTAAAAGCACAATGTTCTCTTACCATTCCTGGTTCTAACACAAACCCACAGTGTTCGGCATAGTTTTGTGGCTATCAGAGCAGAAACGCAAAGCAAAGCTGCTACTCTCTGTAACATTTTCCGTTGTCTCCTTTCGCATTCATAAGTAAAATGTGCATGCTTTTTTCGCAATATTAGATCAAAAGATCAGACAAGGCCCATACACACACCCACCCATAGACCTCCCCCTCAAAGAAATCAGGAAAGTAGTTGATAATGCAAAATGCATTCACAGTAGGAATAAATATAATCGTAGACGCACGTGATATGCACAGAATTTAAGTTTCCAATTTATTGAATTATATAACATCTTAAAATTTGTAAAAATGTAATGCATTTTATGTTATTGTAAATGAACGCATTTAGGCAGTGTGAAGAGAGAAGATCAAATGTGTCTCCGTGCACATATATAAAGTGTGTACTTGCAGTGTGTTTCCTGTCTAAAACAGATGAGAGGGTGTTATATTTTTTTCATTTTCAGAAAAACATTGAGTGGGCCCCTAAGGTGGCTGCATATTTGCTCGGTGAGTAAGGAATGTGGTTGCATACCTTGCTCATAAGCCAGATTCAGCTCACACACAGTAAGAGCGAGAGAGAGAGAGAGATGGGGGGAGACAGAGTGAAAGTAAGCAAGAGAGGAGAGAGACGGGGCAGACTATGCTCACGGCAAATGAGCTCATTCACTCTAAGGTCACAGAGAGAGAGAGAGAGAGAAGGCGGGGAAAGACTTGAACGGAGGCTGTACAACAATAGCGAGCTCTACTTTCAGTTGTTGCCACACTGAATGAGATCGAGGAAGGATCCGTGGCGCTCCTGAGGAAAGACCTCACACTTCTTCTGCCCTCGGTTCTGTGAGGGGGACGCGGTTGTTGCTTTCCTGTGGAGTTTCCCTCCTCAGTGTTTTTTAGGATCTTACCTTTTTTTTGGTACCCAGCACCTTTCGGATATATAGTTCTTGGACTGCGATTCGCACTGGTTGGTGCGGATGCCCCTAGACGTGGTCATATCCCCTCCAGAGAACTGCTTCTGGTCGGGGATCCAGCAAACAGACATGAGGCTCAAAATCAGAGTCTGCAAGATGAGAAAAGAACGCAAGCTACGAGGTGTGTAACATCTGTTGTCACCTGGACCGATGGTGCTTTCCCAACTGTATCTGTCAAACACGTGTTGGTTTGAGGTTATGTGCGTTTCATCCTCTTGCTCTTTCTTTATTTTTGTCCCAAATATTTGCAACTGGCTGATGTTAGTATTTTATTTGGAGTCGTTCTTTAACCACAAATTTATGTTAAAGAGTTAAACATTAACCTCATTGCTATAGAGCTTCTATGATTATCTCCTCGAATAGTAGAAAATTAAACGGACGTGCATAGGATTTATTTGATGTGAGTATATTTATTAATGCACTTTCTTTGTGTGTGTTCATGGTTCATAACGTTATGCACACATGCAAGTGTATTATTTGAGTTGCGTGTGCATTCTACTGATGTCACCAAGTACAAGTTAAACAGTTGGACTTTGCCATGCAATTGACTTTTATTCCAGTGACGTCTAAGTTTCTGTAATGGCTTTAGGGCAGAAATGCAATAATTGTAATAGTTAATGATTCAATGATAAAGGGTCCCGGGGTTTAACACTTCTAATCTGTCAAGCATGACAACAAAGCGCTGGGAGTGATGAGGTAGCCACCAACCCCCTGCTGTTTTTTGTGTTCCTCATTGTGCAGCATGCATGTGTGCAATGATGTCATTGGGCCTTTATTGAGATGCTAATAAGTGTGTGTGTGCACGCAGAGATGGGGACAGATGGGGGCTGCTCCTCAATGGCGTCATGTCTTCTGCATCTGGAGACTTTTGTGTGTGTGTGTGTGTGTGTGCGTGTGTTGATGTGCATTAGTTTCATTCAGTGGTCCATCAATGCTGCTGGATGTAGAGCCTTGAATGGAAGCCTGTGTGGTGGTCCAGTAACACGTAGGATGCTATATAAAGCACCCCTGTAGATCTTTGAAGCAGGACAATATTCCAGATCCTTGAGGAGATGAAAGATCACTTCCAAAAGAGATCTTGTCCACTTGCCTTTTGAGCTGTAGTCTTGCTTTCACAGATCCCAGATGCCCTTTGAAATCCTTGACCTTTGAGTTGAAGGAAGAGGGATGGGAGGTCAGCATTGCTTCCCTGTTTTGGCAAAAGTAATGCATTTGAGGAATGTGGGAAAGGAAGTCTGTTTTAACAAGCTTTAACCAGGCAAAATTTGGAGTCTTACTTGGGTATTGCTGACAGTGTTGACATAATGACTAACCCTTTTTAGGCAGTTATGTCACTAGGCTGGTGAGGGGAGTTATAGTTGGGGGATGGGGAACAGACATCCAGGATCTGATGGTTGTATCAATGTGTTTGAATGCATTTGTGTGTGTGGTTTGGGGGGAAGGGTGTATTTGAACCAGTATGGGGGTCGTAGAACATTTGGTCGGCAGTCATTCATCTACCGCTGGTTTCGAGAGCGTATGGAGGAGGCACCAGGGGCCCGTTGGTTCTGCTTGAGTGACATGCAAATCACCTCTCAGTGTTCTGTTCTGAGAGATGATGTCATTGTACAGGCCATTGCCATTAATAGCAGGAAACAGACAGGTTGTCGCTCAAGCTCTTAAAAGGACCAGGCACCCCCAAACAAACAAGAGTTGTTTAGATGGTGATTTGCACATGGATGAGAGGGACAGGTGTTCCTTGTTGTCAGTTAGGGCAAAGCAGGTGGCTTTTAAAGTTCACGGTTAATTGATGTACGATTTGTCACCCTTTATATAGACTCTGGTTGATGTCATGCGATAACGTTGAACATGGCTGTCGTTTCTCTTTGTTGTAAACCTTCTTATCACCTCACTCTTTATTTGCCATGACTCATTTCATTGACTTGTTTGTTTTAACTCCTCGCACCCAGATCTGTTTAACACAGTCACTTTTGTTTGCACTATTGCACTGTTTCTTGGCTGGGATTAAATGATTTCATGGCTCCCTGGTTGACTGCTGTGTGTGCATACGCCCAGGGTTACCATGTCCCAGATTCTCATGGAGCTCATCTGAGATTAAAGTCTAAACCCATCTGCCGGGGCTCACGCTTTCTGGCAGCATTGCACAGCTCAGTGAAGACTTTACTTTCTTCCTCTGCAATTCCATTCCACTTTTCCATCTTTCCCTGTTCTACTAATGAATTCTAGTTCAGCTGCTTGTAGATGCACATGTGAATGCATATGCAGATTTTTACCTTGCATTTGTATGTGTGTTGCTGTCCAGACACCCAACGCCCTTAGAGCTATGAATCAAGGGCTTGGTCTGCACCTGTGACCACCCTCATTCTCTAAGCCTGACGCAATTGTTCAGTTGAGGATATTAGGTCATTCAGGAAAAGGAGCTCCAACAGACGAATGCCAAAACTGGAGCCACCCACCTCTTAAACAGACAGAATCCTTCTTTAGGCCAACTGGCCTTTGCTTGACTTTTGTGTTTGTACATGCACTGATATAGATTGGCACAATCTTGTTCAGAACATCTGAATCCTCTCTTGCTTGAGTTTGACAAATGATGTGTGACATCAGCATATCCTTTGTTAGTATGAAAGGTTTTGACTTGAAATATGCCTCTTATTATTATAGGTTGGTGCCTCTTTGTTAACACTTTGTCCTGCTTGAGAGATTTTGAGTTGCATCCTTAACATAATGACTTATGTTACAACAATGACTATGTTGACAGTCGCCAACTCCAGCACTCTTGTTGGTCTTGTCTTTCTTCTATCACATAGGTAGGGGGTCATTTTGTTCCTAACAGAATCTCTCTTATTCTCTATGTTTCTTTAGGTGGTTTTGCAGCATTCTCATCCTGTTTTCCGGGCCTATGTGAAGGCAAGCCAGTGGCCACTCTGCCTATGAGCTTGTCTCAGCCATGTCTGTCTGTGGCAAATGTTGGTCCCACACGAATCCTGCCCCATCTCTACCTGGGCTCTCAAAAAGATGTGCTCAACAAGGTACAACTGACTGTAACTAAGGTCTTGGAATGTTAGAAACTTCCAAAACAGGAGTAATCACATTGCATAATTCATGCCTTGGTTCTTTGCACTGTCAGGATCTGATGGCTCAAAACGGCATCACATATGTGTTAAATGCAAGCAACACCTGCCCAAAGCCAGAGTTCATCTCCGAAAGCCATTTCATGCGCATTCCCGTCAATGACAACTACTGTGAAAAACTCCTGCCATGGCTAGACAAAACCAACGAGTTTATTGGTAAGAACCAACTTGTGACAATAGGAGAAGTGATTTTAGTTTCCCTTCCCTTCCCTTTGATTGATTTTCTTCAAGTGAACTTCACGTTAGCATGAAAAGTGAGTAGCATCCCCTGTGATGATATCAGGACGATATCTGATATTTGATCCTCAAAGCATGTTTGTAGATAGGCTATCTGGTTGTCTTGCATGTTTTGTGTTTGCTCACGTGTTTCCCTTCTCCCTTTCAGACAAAGCCAAGGTTTCCAACTGTCGAGTCATTGTCCATTGTTTAGCTGGCATCTCCAGGTCCGCTACCATCGCCATCGCTTATATCATGAAGACAATGGGCTTGTCATCAGATGACGCGTACAGGTAAACTCACTCAGACACCCTGCAGCTTGAATTGCACAGTCTCAGAAAGACATTTTCTGCTAGCTGTAATTTTATATCCATTTCCTCCAACATGTAAAATGGATCACGTAGAAACTTGTAAACAATACTTGTCTTGGCCTTCCTAAACACATATTTTGTTCAAGGCCTTTACAAGCTCGCATGATGCGTCTTTGTGTTGAAGATGTCTTCCTTTCCATATATGTGGATTTGTCCTTAGGGTAATCATTCTTACTGTTCTTGTGTTTCTAGGTTTGTGAAGGACCGCAGACCTTCAATATCACCCAACTTCAACTTCCTGGGGCAGCTGCTGGAGTTCGAGAAAGGTCTGAGGTTGCTAAAGGCTCTGTCCTCGGGTCAAGAGAAGTTGGAGCAGTTGAAGGAATTGTCAGAACCTAGAGGAGAATCTTCTAGTGATCCTGAAAAGGCTCGTCTGGAGGCTGAGAAGGACAGCACAGATTTGGACACCAAGCTACCTTCTCCTTCCTCCCTCCAGCAGGGCTTTAATGGCTTGAATCTGTCGGCAGAGCGTATCCTAGACACCAACCGGCTCAAACGCTCTTTCTCACTTGACATCAAATCGGTCTATGAGCCCAACCACTGTCCTCGTCTCACGCCTGCGCATACTGAGGATGTTCCCAAACTCTGCAAGCTGGATAGCCCAGAGGTCGGAGAAGCTAATGGTGTATGCCAGTACTCACCTATTTCTGTCAGCCCTGCTTTAGCTGAATCTCCAGGCCTCTTTCCTGAGAGCAGCTCCCGACCTCGTTCGCGGAGAAAAGGCAAGCACAATGGTAGCAGTGCTGGAGGTTCTCCCGTGCACTCGCACTTCGGACACTCACTCCCCGCACACAAAAGTCCCAGTCTTGATGACAATCTGAAGCCCTCCCTGCTGCTCAGCCTTCCCACTGTGGGCACCGGGCCCATGTGGACCAAGCATAGAGACACCGTACAGGCCACAACCCCTGTTACGCCAACAGGCGAAGCCCCTTGGTTCTACAGCTCTGAGTCAATGAACAGTAACGGAGGTGGAGGTGGGGCGGTACACTTTCCTGCGCTGGGCTGTAGCAGCCTCCCTGGCCCATGCGAGGCTGTACGTCTGCGGGAGAAGGTGGGGGAGCCACGGGACTCGAGGGGCAGCTGGCACGAGGATGCTCCCACTTCCAGTGCTGCCGACAATCAGTTCAAGCGGCGCAGCTGTCAGATGGAGTTTGAAGAGGGGATATCGGAGACACGTTCAAGGGAGGAACTGGGAAAGATCAGCAAACAGTCCAGCTTCTCTGGAAGCATGGAAATCATCGAAGTATCCTGACATCACCTGCGCGGCCCCTGGGGACTTTTTCATACAGACAGACAGGCGCCTCTTATGAGTAAGGATGACTAAGAGTGGGCCTGGCAAGGCGGTGTAACATTCATATTAGTTCATAGGATTGTCGGTTCTCAGAATTCGGACTTTTTTTAAGCCGGTGGAGCCGGACGCAGATTGACTTTGCTTTGTCTTTCTACAGTTTTTAAGCCATAGCTATCCCCAGATTACAACGAGCTGAGACTGCAGTTGCAGAATCCCTCGTTCCCTTACTCCTCGTTTATCGGAGACACGTTCAAGGGAGGAACTGGGAAAGATCAGCAAACAGTCCAGCTTCTCTGGAAGCATGGAAATCGTTGAAGTATCCTGACATCACCTGCACAGCCCCTGGGGACTTTAACGCACAGACGGACAGACGCCACTTATGAGCAAGGATGACTAAGAGTGGGCCTGGCAAGGCTGTGGAACATTCATATTAGTTCATAGAATTGTCAATAAATGACTAGTTCTCAGAAATTGAACTTTTTTTGTTTTTTGTCTTTTTAAGCCGGTGGAACCGGACGCAGATTGACTTTTTTCTTTGTCTTTCTACTGTTTGTAAGCCATAGCCATCCCCGGATGACAACGAGCTGAGACTGCAGTGGCAGAATCCCTCATTTCCTCATTCTAGAAACAGACCACCCTTTTCCTCACAAAAGCTTTACCAGCCTTTTGGTGTATTGAGAATCAAGCATGGCTGTTATGTTCACACTTGTTTCTTTTATTATGCTGCCCTGGACTCAGTGAAGTTACACCGCCACAGCACAAGGAGTCAGCACAGACTAAGCCTTGGTGGTACATGCTTTTACTGGCTGAATGAAGGCCTCTTTGTGCAGTGCTCTTGTCCACCCTGCTCCTGTATCCCAGCATTCATGGAATCCCGGAGGAGGAATCAGGCATGTCATGAAGGAAATGCATTGTGGACTCTTTCCCATAATGTTCTCTGTCACTCTTTTGTTACCCAGATTTCAGGGTCTTGTCCTTCCCCTCCTGTGCCCAAGTGGTGATGCTCGAACTGTTGTGCAACCCACGTTCCTCTCACTAAGCATGCGTCAAGGCTGCTGTTTTAATTACAAACAAATAGTATATGAACTATACACAGTGATTTCAATGGACGTCTAGTTTTTGTCATTTTCTTAGTTACGGTTTTAATTTATTCTACTGGTTCATTCTGGTAATGAGAAATAATATAAAGATTGTGGAGTTTTTATTTTTCCTCTTTTTCTGTGTTGATCTCTCTTTTTAAAGTGATTTACAAAAATACACTCACAAAACCGATACGCAACTACAAGCAATACAGGTGCATCTCAATAAATTAGAATGTCGTGGAAAAGTTCATTTATTTTAGTAATTCAACTCAAATTGTGAAACTCGTGTATTAAATAAATTCAATGCACACAGACTGAAGCATTTTAAGTCTTTGGTTCTTTTAATTGTGATGATTTTGGTTGAAGTACTGAAATAAATGAACTTTTCCACGACATTCTAATTTATTGAGATGCACCTGTATGTGTTTTTACTTCTTTTTTTGTCCTCCTTTTTCTTGATCAGTTATTACCAGGAATTATCTGATGTTTAAATGCACTTTCTGTTGCTTTAAGAGGGAAGTTTTTAGACGTTCTCATTAAAAGGGTACCACAACGCTTTACAAAAAATCATGTGTAATCATTGATGTCCTGCGGTGTGTGTCACAAACTAAAGCATTTGGTATGGCTTTTGTTTGTCTCTCCAGCCTGCTGGCTTAAATTATTAAAGACGTTAATCCAGCATGAATAATCTAGAGTAATCTAGAAGAATATGTATGATACTCCAGCATTGTAAAATGAATAGCGACTCATTTTGATTTTCATGAATTTGATTTTTGTATTAACAAGCACACAAGACAAAATGAAGGGAAAAAAATGACAGGGACTCTAAAGGGGTTTGTCTGTGTCCCCCATTTGTTCTGCATATTTATGACATTATTTATTGTTTGTTTGGGTCTGATTGCGGGAGGATGTTGTGAATGACTGACAGATGGACCCTTTGCAGATGCTTATATAGACTGGCATCTTGGAGAAGAGATAAACCCCTAACCTTTTCATTGGCAAAAAAAAAGTATACACAACAAGATGCATTTAAACCTAGCTTATGGTCTGACAGAGTTAAGTCTGCTGATCCGCTAGTTTCTATTGGATCATAAACTTTATGTGAAAGACCAGTAACTGATAAGAACAGAATCTGCACTATGGTGACAATACATTCTGCTTGCTTTCTTCTCAGGGGAGCTTTTAATGAGTCAGTTACATGTCTGAGCTCTGAGCTTTCTCTTTTTCTGTCCCTTTGCTTCACTTGCTCTCTTCAGCACCAATTTCTTTTCTCCTCTTTCTCTTCTTCACTCACCTTTTCCCTTCATCCTCTCTGTGTCTCTCAGAATCTCTAGAACGCTCCAAAGGTTAAATATAACACAGAAAGGGTGTGTGTGTACAAATGTGAATGGGATTGCCCTCTCCATGGGAGATAGTTCAGCAATTTATTTATGTCTGTATTTTTTCAGTTAGCTTTTCTGTATGGCAAATCTTGTATTTGTGCTGCTGTATTTTTTTTCCTTGTGTAAGACTTTACCTGTATTTCCTTTATATTCTAATTTGTTGAGATAGTGAATTGGTGGGTTTTTGTTAAATGTGAGCCAAAATCATCACAATTAAAAGAACCAAAGACTTAAACTATTTCAGTCTGTGTGCATTGAATTTATTTAATACACGAGTTTCACAATTTGAGTTGAAGTACTGAAATAAATGAACTTTTCCACGACATTCTAATTTATTGAGATGCACCTGTATGTGTTTTTACTTCTTTTTTTGTCCTCCTTTTTCTTGATCAGTTATTACCAGGAATTATCTGATGTTTAAATGCACTTTCTGTTGCTTTAAGAGGGAAGTTTTTAGACGTTCTCATTAAAAGGGTACCACAACGCTTTACAAAAAATCATGTGTAATCATTGATGTCCTGCGGTGTGTGTCACAAACTAAAGCATTTGGTATGGCTTTTGTTTGTCTCTCCAGCCTGCTGGCTTAAATTATTAAAGACGTTAATCCAGCATGAATAATCTAGAGTAATCTAGAAGAATATGTATGATACTCCAGCATTGTAAAATGAATAGCGACTCATTTTGATTTTCATGAATTTGATTTTTGTATTAACAAGCACACAAGACAAAATGAAGGGAAAAAAATGACAGGGACTCTAAAGGGGTTTGTCTGTGTCCCCCATTTGTTCTGCATATTTATGACATTATTTATTGTTTGTTTGGGTCTGATTGCGGGAGGATGTTGTGAATGACTGACAGATGGACCCTTTGCAGATGCTCATATAGACTGGCATCTTGGAGAAGAGATAAACCCCTAACCTTTTCATTGGCAAAAAAAAAAGTATACACAACAAGATGCATTTAAACCTAGCTTATGGTCTGACAGAGTTAAGTCTGCTGATCCGCTAGTTTCTATTGGATCATAAACTTTATGTGAAAGACCAGTAACTGATAAGAACAGAATCTGCACTATGGTGACAATACATTCTGCTTGCTTTCTTCTCAGGGGAGCTTTTAATGAGTCAGTTACATGTCTGAGCTCTGAGCTTTCTCTTTTTCTGTCCCTTTGCTTCACTTGCTCTCTTCAGCACCAATTTCTTTTCTCCTCTTTCTCTTCTTCACTCACCTTTTCCCTTCATCCTCTCTGTGTCTCTCAGAATCTCTAGAACGCTCCAAAGGTTAAATATAACACAGAAAGGGTGTGTGTGTACAAATGTGAATGGGATTGCCCTCTCCATGGGAGATAGTTCAGCAATTTATTTATGTCTGTATTTTTTCAGTTAGCTTTTCTGTATGGCAAATCTTGTATTTGTGCTGCTGTATTTTTTTTCCTTGTGTAAGACTTTACCTGTATTTCCTTTACCTTATCTGTACTATATTTTTAAAGACCTTGTTATTATTTAAAACATGTAATAAAAAGATGCAGGCTGTCCTTTTTTGCTGAAATTGTTAAATAGTTGGCAACTAATTATTATTATTATTATTATATGTTGTGTGAATAGGCATTGTATCAACAAAACTAATTGATATAGTTTTTTTTTTAAAGAGAAAATCTTGATACCTTAGGCTGCTTGAAGCAAAATACCTCAGGTTCTTTTGAAAGGCTTGTTCCTCCCCATGTACCCATTTTGTGACGATGAAACAAAATACAAATATTACAAAATATGAAAATGTTTCGTTATTTCCTTTTCCTTTGATTTTTGTTGTAACATAGTTGAGAGATTCCCAACAGTTTTATATGAATGATCGACATTATCATTTAGTTTTGCATACTGTAAATAATTCATTCAGTTAATGTTAGAGTTAAAGAGTTTTGTACAGTTTAGTTTGGAAGCTTGTTTCTTCCACAGGATGAAAAAATAAAAAAGGTAATTACGACTTTTATCTCATTTTTTTTTTTCTGACAATTCTGACTTTTTCTCTGTATTCTGAGAAAAATGTTGTAATTGCAATATAAACTCAGAATTTAAGGGGAAAAAATTAGATAAAGTCATAATTTGTTTTTTATTCGGTGACAGAAACAATCTTAGAAATTAGATAAAGTACATGAAGATTGCAGGTAAAAAAGGTAAAGATTTCTAGAATCTGAGCAAAAATAATGAAAAACTGGAGTTCATCTGAATATTATGGAAGCCCATTTCTGCCATGAGATAAAAAAAAAAAAATTTTTTAAAGGTATTTGCAACATTTTATCTCACAATTTGGATTTTTTTTTCTTGTAATTCTGAGTTCATATCTCTCAGTTTGCAATTTTAAGAAAAAAGTCAGAATTACGTGATATAAAACTTGCAATTGTGAGAAAAAGTCTTAATTGTGAAACTTTTATTTTTTATTCTGTGATGGAAACAAAAAAAATTGCGAGATGTAAAGTCAAAATTGCATGAAAATAAGTCAGTTTTTCATGATCAATATTCTTTGTCGAGCACCCTGTTTGTGTGTTTTTCCAGCGATGTGCGTGCTTTTGTTTTGATTTTGTTTTTGAAGAAAAAAAGTCAGCCAAATATGTTTATAGTTACAGCCAGGAATTTACAAGAATTTAACCATAATTGATTATTTTCTTAACAAACTTAATCAATTTGACAAATGCACTAATTCAAAATATCTAAAAGGCTGTTTCCAACTGGTGAGTTGCAACCCAAAAATGGGTTACAAATATGTTCTAATAAAGTTGGGGATGCAGGGAAAATCATACTAATTGCAAGATTTGCTGAAAATTTACTCAGAATGTGGACTGCCATTCTGACGGCACCCATTCACTGCAGAGAATCCACTGGTGAGCAAGTGATATAATGCTAAATTTCTCCAAATCTGATGAAAAAACAAACTCTTCTACATCTTAGATGGCCTGAGCGTGAGAACATTTTCAGCCACACATTTTTCATTTTCAGGTGAATTATTTCTTTAAATGATAGCAAAATATTTGTTCATAAGAATGTTTTTGTTAACTTTTGTATGATTTTGGCAGATTTGGAGAAAGCAGTTTGAGAAATACTGATCTGTGACATACAGTGTAGTGTGTACTTAGTGGGATTTGCATACTTGACCTCTGTTGCAGTTCTGCATATACTCCACATGCTTTGGAGGTCTCTTCTGCTGTAACTCCTCACCATTGTTCTCCTCAATAAAGACCTGTCTTTATTGTCTGCCCCCTGTGGAAGAGGAGAAGGTGGTATAAAAACCTGAGTGAACACAACACTAACAGTGCTGAGTCCAAGCAGCTGCCCACTTACAACACACACAACGCTGCGGGGTCAAGGTGAAACCCAGCGGTAAGAAAGGCCTCCGTATGACCAGGAACACGAAATCCGTTGGGAATAGAAGGAAAAAATTCCCCGCTTCCCACTTGAGAATACCATTCTGTTCTCACTCGGTTTGGAGATTTTTTCTTTCATTCCTCGTCTTGTTTTTGAATGTGAGCGCAGTGAATAAGAAACTGTGTGGGGATCTGTGTAATATGTTAAAGGGGTCATATGATGCTGCTAAAAAGAACATTATTTTGTGTATTTGGTGTAATGAAATGTGTTTATGCGGTTTAAAGTAAAAAAAACACCATATTTTCCACATACTGTACATTATTGTTTCTCCTCTATGCCCCGCCTTTCTGAAACGCGTCGATTTTTACAAAACTAATCGGTCTGAAAAGCGAGGTGTGCTCTGATTGGCCAGATATCCAATGCGTTGTGATTGGCCGAATACCTCAAGCGTGAGACGGAAATGTTACGCCCCTCACATACTGTCTTTACAGATCTTCTTTATGCACCAAGAGCTTGTAACACTC